TTATATTTTTGATATTTATTTTATATATTTAAATGCCATTTAACAAAGAAAAATCAACCAAAAAAATGAGTTTGCGTGTCACCTCTGACACGTGTGTCATAGGTTTGCCATCACTGCTCTAGGACCACTGGTGCCAAGAGCTGGGACAGGGAGCATGAAGTGGACCCCAGGTGAACCTGGCTCACTCTTCTCCCCAGTTGGACTTGTGCAAACGCACAGTGTGAACTCTGCAACCCGCTAGGTCCCCCTCAGCCAAGGCTGCTGGAAGTCCCACACAAATTAATACCCAGGTAACCATTTCGTGCCAGGTGCCCGGGAGAATCAGCTCTCATTTATTCTGTGATGTACTTGCTTTGTCTTTATTGTGCATTTTTCTTTTCTGTTCACAGCCACCTGAATTATTTTTCTGGTGGGGTGCTGGATGTATTTCACTTGCCCCAGGGGGCTGACCTGGGCGGACCACGGCATGGGCGGTCATGTCCTCTGGCCTCTGGTTGGGTTTGACCAGTGGGGGCTGTGGGGAGGAGGTCAGAGAGGAGGAGGAGAGAGGGGCTGATCTGCTCGCTCATCTCTTTTCTGGTAACATCGTCCCAAGCTGACTATGTTGCTGACTGATGTAAGGTCACTGCTCCTGGTCCAGCACTGACTTTCCCAACCCTCCTTTCCAGCTCCAGTAACACCCCTGGGCCTGAGCGGGAAGGTGCAGCGAACAGCTCTGCTGCTGCACTGGGTGCCCACTGCCCCTCTTGCCCCTGAAGCCCTACCCGCTCCGCCGGCCTGAGTTAGATTTCAGTGCGAAGCACAATGGTCCGGTCCCCTGGGCCCGAGTCCTGTCCGGGTCTGACTGTGTCCAGGGTGTTCTCTGTGGGAGCTCTAACCGGCCAGGCGAGGATCAAAGGACGGGGTTCAATGAGTCGGAGGCGAACAAAGGAAGGAGCTTATGATCAACACGCACCACCTCTGCTTCCTCAGGGGGCACCTTTGCAGCTGCCCGGCTGGCGGAGGTGCCTCAGGAGCCGGGTGGGAAGGGGACGTGGTGGAACCCTGTGTCCCTCGGGCACGGTCACCTCTCTAATGCTTACAACAACTCTATGAAGCAAGTACTCGGATTTTTCCCATTGTACAGACGGGAAACTAAGGCACAGGAGGGGTAGGACACTTGCCCACCGTCAGCCCGGGTATGTCCGATCTAAACAGACCACTGCGGTGTGTGAAAAGGCTGTGGGGTTTGTGAAGCTGTCTTAGCTTTACCCGGTGTGAGTAACGTGGCGGTGCCCTGGTGACCCAGGCCAGGCAAAGAGGATGCGCGGGCTCCAGAGGCCCGCTTCCTGGGCCTGGTGTGAAGCGGCGTGTGAACTGAACGAGATGACCTCACGGCTAACCGTGCCCGCTTCTCTCTACTGTTTCCATAACAGAACACGGGCACGGACAAATCAACCAACAACTAGCAATCACATTTAAAGGAGGGTGACGTGCCCGAGAGCGAGTGCGTTATAAGCCTGCATAAGATTCAAGTTAGGCAACCTGCCCTGGAGGAGGGCTCCGCCTAAGACAGCTAACACTGCGGCAGGGATAGGAGAACAGAGCCAGTGGGACAGGCAGTATAAAGAAGGTGCAGTGTTCGCCTTGCTAGGAGACAGAGCTCTCCGACATGACGTCTCTGTGCTGTGAAGCTCAGGAGCTACGGCCACATGTGTTACGAGCAGCTGAAACACACCCAGTGAAGCTGAGGGTCTCAATTTCATTTCACTCTAATTAAAGTACTTGTGGCTGGTGGCTACTGTGTTGGAGGACATCAGTTTAGAGACCATGAAACCAACTCACAGCATGATCTCCTTGGCTGCAGGGTCACAGGATGATGGCCATCTTGAAGTTACGGGGTCATCTGGTCCCACGCACGAATCTAGAGTCAATCACATTCCCCTTTGCCTGGCCCTGGGTGGTCAGGGGACTTCTGTGTTTGGACACACGGGGTGAAGCTAGATGGCTTCATGAACTCCCTGGGTCTTTCCCCATATTGCAAGAAAACTCTCATCTAGGTCAAGGGTCAGTCACTGTTTTCTTGGTAGGCTTTGCAGGCAGTGCCGCTGATGTCATCATTACTCACCTGCCACCATAGCGTGAAAATAGCCACAGACCATACTTACACCAATGAGTGTGTCTGGGTCCCAATAAAAACTGTATTTACAAAAATTGGATGCCATCTGCCGACCTTTGGTCTAGGATATTTTTAGTGATTCATGCAGTGAGGTCATGCTTTCATTAAATGTGTACTGACCTCTGGCACAGCATGGCACAGTTCATAAACCATTTTAGACATGATCTCTTCATCTCACAACATCACTCACAGCTACTGTGGTGGCTACTCCAATGGCCCCAGTGCCCCCTCCTAGCGTTCGTGCCTGCGTGGCTCCCTCCACGAGTCCTGGTCTGAGCTGGCCTATGGCTGGCTGTGAGCATTAGCATGTGGCAGTAGTGAGACCACATTACCTCTGAGGATAGTTCATAAAAAGCCTGGAAGAGTCCACCTGAGCCTGTTGGAACCGGCTCTGGGAGAAGGTAGCCACACGCGTGCAGTCCCTTCACTGTGAGACCAGCAGCTGGGACGTCCACGTGGAGAGACAGACGCCACCCAGCCCCCGTGGTTGCAGCTGCCCCAGCTCACAGAGGATCCAGGCCCTGCCACCATCACATGACAGTCCTACGTGAGACGTGCCCAGTTGAGCCCAGTCCACCCAGAATCACAAGAGATAATAAACTGTCATTGTAAGCCACTAATATTTGGGGAACAGCAATAGATAATTGGAACAACTAAATATTGTCATTATTCTTCCAGGTTACAGATGGGAAACTGATGCCCAGAGATAATAATGGACCTGCACGAGGTCAAGGACCTATGTTATGACACATGAAAAACTGGAGCACGCCCTGGCCAGTGTGGCTCAGTTGGTTGGAGCATCATCCCATACACTAAAGGCTGCAAGTTCTGGTCAGGGCACATACCTAGGATTTGGGTTCAGTTTCTGGTTGGGGCACATACAGAAGGCAAACAACTGGTGTGGATGCTTCTCACATGGATGCTTCTCTCACATGGATGCTTCTCTCTCTCTCCCACTCTCTCCTTCCCTCCCTCCCTGCCCTCCCCCCTTTCCCCTTTGTCTAAAATCAATAAGCATATCCTTGGGTAAGAATTTTTTTTAAAAGAAAATACATGACAACAGATAATTAAGTACTAGGCTGTGAGGTCTAATGGCCAATGCACAGGCAGTCAGAAGAGAACATGGTCTTGAACAACAGGCATATGGAAAGTGAAGCATGCAGACTCCTTTGTAGTCCTGGCATTCTGCCAGCCACGCCCGTCACCTGCTGAGCTGGCTCTGGTCTCACACTGAGCAGAAGCTTTTTTGCCAGGCTACTCCCTGGTCAGCCCAGAAGCGCTTCGGAGCACCCACAGGGCCACAGCCCTCCCAGCAACTGCGAGGCAGAGAACAAAGAAGCTGGGGGCTCCATCTTTTCCGGGAGAGACACAGTCTTGATCATCTGGCCTCTACGTTCTGATAGGCTCATTCTAAAATTAGGATTTATTAGGAATATTCTGAACACATGCATGCCGGGCACCCTTGCTTTTAAACTTCTTAAATTTGTTTAAAAGAGGAAATGGCCACACCGTGGACAGGATGTCTCCCTTACCCAGCAGTGTGAAGGTCTTCCGCGTCTCCTCCATGCCAGCACTGTCACTCACCCCCTCAATGACGGTGTTACCGCCCATCCTCGTGTAATTGAATTCTTCCGCACTCCCTGAAATCACAAGATTGTTACATCTGTAGCATAAAAACTTGGACACCCAAGTTTATCAAAAAGGGAAGTTCTTAATAAACTATAATAAGCATTCTACACACATTATTCCATTTATTCCCTAGAATTCTACCTACAGAAGCTGAGGCTCTGAAGAGAGAAGTCACTTCCTCAGGGTCCCGCATGGATGGCGGGGCAAGAATTTAAACACAGGCTGCCTCCAACACTCATGGTTTTTGATCCCACATCTAACAATTTTATTATACAGCTTTCTGTGTCAAGCTTCTGTACAAATGTCGGTGTCACAGACATTTTTTAGTGAGGTTTATTAAATGTACAATGAACCACACACATTTTAGATGTACACTTTGATGCGTTTTGATATATGTGTACCCTGATAAACATCACCACAAACAAGATCATGACCTCCTGTGCATCTGATATTTGGATAGTAGGCTACCCTTCTTCCATGTTCGCTATTCACAGTCTGTTTAGAGCACAAAGCATGGATAGTATCTTCGTGTGACTTCATTATGACTTCCTAAATGGTGACCTCGAGTCATCAAGGAAGTTCAAATTATGATAAAAGTACTCTATCTTAGAAGGAACAAATATGTCATACACATTAGAAAAATGACCGACAAGTTCAGATAAAAAGAAAAGTTTGGAGACCTAGAGCATAAGTTCTAGTTGTCAGGAGGCCTTCTCCACGTGGCTCTAGCTCGATGCCACAATCCCCATGACCTTGAAAAGAAGCCTTGGGTTGAAGGGCTCCCCCTCCGTGAGCGGGCTCCCCTCTCCGTGAGCCCACCCTACTCTCCAGCCCTTATCTATCTCCTTAGAGGCATCCATTCCACACCAAAACCCAAGGATCTTGTATCTTTGGACAGAATATATTTTTGAAGTGATGTTACCGTAAGAAGAAGTTAACCTAGAATTTAAACCCCTACGTAAAAGAGAGACTCTTCCACATACCATCCATCACGTACCCAATTTAAGATGTTTAAATTCCGACTGCTGTGCAGATGCACAAAGCTGATAGAAAATGTGGTAATTTCGTTCATTTTCTGACTGTAAAAGAAGGAAAAGACCCCAAATTACACCAGTCCTTTGTAAGTGAAAATGTGAGGTTTCTACCAGAGGGTCTTAGATGGCTGATCTGGATCGACAGTTCTGTTCTGGGGACCCAGGCACCCACCTCAGGTTCTGCCGCGTCAGCCATGCTGGGACCCACCCTGCTCCCTCTGCTGGCCCATAGGCCGGCCCTGCCTCTTACGGACGGAGAACTGGTGGCTCTGGTGGCCCTCCAAATAATGACCCCAGAGAAAATGTTATTTTAAAACATTTTTTGGTTAATTCTCACCCAAGGATATATTTTCCACTGATTTTTAGAGAGAGTAAGAGGGTTGGCCCTCCAAATAATGACCCCAGAGAAAATGTTATTTGTTATTTTTAAAAATTTTTTGGTTCTCACCCAAGGATATATTTTCCACTGGTTTTTACAGAGAGGAAAAGGGTAAGGAGGGGGGAGAGAGAGAGAAAAAAAACATCAATGTGAGAGAGAGACACATTGATTGGCTCCCGCATGCACCATGACTGAAGCGGAGGATGGAACCTGCAACCCAGATACATGCCCTTGACTGGGAATCAAACCCAAGACCCTTTGGTGCACAGGCCGACACTCGTTACCTAAAGTCTAGTCTCTGGGGGTTGCTGCAGTAGGGGGCCATGCAGGAGGCTGCTGATTGATGCTATGCTCTCACATAGTTTCTCTTTCCTCCCTTCCTCTCTAAAAATCAATAAACTACTCTTAAAAAAAAAAAAAAGACATATGTACCCCTAAGCGCATTGCAGCATTAGTCACAATAGTCAAGATACGGAAACAACCTAAGTGTCCTTCAATGGAAGACTGGATAAAGAAGATGTAGTGCATATATACAATGGAATACTACTCATAAAAAAGGACGAAATATTGCCATTTGTGACAATATGGATGGATCTTGAGGGTATTATAACTGAAATAAGTCTGATGAAAAAAAGATAAGAACAGTATGATTTCAATCCTATGTGGGATATAAAACAAAAAGCAACAAATGGCCCTGGCCAGTTTGGCTCAGTACTTACCGGAGAGAAAGGAGGGTGGGGGCAGGATGAAGAGGATAAAAGGGCTCAAATATATGGTGACAGAAGAGACTAGACTTCAGGTAATGAGCACTCAGTATAGTATAAAGATGTCGTATTATCATGTTGTACACTTGACATTTACATGATGTTATTAACCAATGTTACCCAAATAAATTTAATAAAAATTAAAAAAACATTTTTAAGAACAGAAGAAACCAAACAAACTGTAAATGAAGTGACTCTAGTCAAGTCACAGAACAATGTAGGCTATCTAATGAGTATATGAATGGAAACAATACTTAAAAAGTTGGGAAAAGGAAAATTTAACGAAAATTTTTATCCTTACTTGAAAGACTACTCTGGATTTCTCCAGCAGGTAAGTTCTCATGTTGGCTCCGATAATTTGATTTCTCTCATCAAAACTGATTTCTGTGTATTTCCCAAACCGACTGCTGTTGTCATTGCGGGTGGTCTTGGCATTTCCAACAGCCTGCAAAACATAGAACTCTCTTGAAATAACCACATCACGAAGATCTCTGCATTAACATTATTGGAGCAGTGTTAGTAAAATCCAATCCTGTATGCGGGGGTGGGGGTGGGTGAGGGGGTGGCGGTATGAGCAGAGGGAGGTTGGCGAGGGGGAAAGCGCTCTCCTCAATCTCTGGCAGACGCTGAGCAGAACAGAAAGAGCGCAGGCTCTGATGCTTCAGGTCCCTAGGTTCCTTTTTACTATCTGTGTGATGCTAGAAATGTTACTTCATCTCTCTCTGTAATATGGGGAAAATAAGCACCCTACAGAACTGGGAGGAAAATGAGATAATGTAGAGTGCCTCGCCTCACCCATGCCCCACATAGTATAAATGCTCAACTGTGTGATGCTAGAAATGTTACTTCATCTCTCTCTGTAATGTGGGGAAATAAGCACCCTAAAGACCTGGGAGGAAAATGAGATAATGTAGAGTGCCTTACCTCACCATGCCCCACATAGTATAAATGCTCAATTAAAAGTCCACATCCTTCATTCAACCTTTATTTCTATCCTTAGCCCTTACCGCTTCCCTTAACTGAAAAACTGCCTTCTCCCATCCCGCCCCCCCCCCCCAGCAGGATTTCAGCTTTTTTACTTCTATCCTTGAATTCCGTCCCTTCTGCCCATCTCCCTTCCTGAGCACCTTTGTCTAAAAGTGCCCTTCTTATGCACATATACTGTGCTTCCTGCCCCGGTCACCACACTTCATTACGACGTGTATTTACTGAGCCCCTGCCATGGGCCACGTGCTTGGGAGGCAGAGGTGAACCCAACAGACCTGGTCCTGCCTTCATGGAACTCATAGGCTGGTGGGCAAGGCCAACTCTGAACAAATAACCATAAAATCACCCACTGGGCACTTAACTGGGCAGGGCCTCTTGACTCTTCTATTGCTACCTTGGACTGTGACTTATGTCGCTATTTAACTTGAAAACATGCTCATGTTAGAGGAGCCTTAAAACTTGGGGACTGGGTCTTACTCTTTTCCATTACGTCCCATATTACCTGGCACAGTGGCTTACACAACATAGGTAGTCTGATACATAAATATTCACTGAGGAGAAAGTAGAGAGGAGAGGTCTAGAAATCTAATGTTCTTAATTACTTGCTCCACTTCCAAATAAACCCAAGTCAATCCTCTTCCCATTTTGCGAGGCAGCCAGAGCCGGCCTTTGGGCCCTGCCCCGAGCCTTTCAGATGCCCCTTCTTCTGAGAGGGTAGTGTCCTCACCCCTGGCTGCTATCACCGCTGGCCTCGCCCACATGTGACCATCGATATTATGCTGATGAATCCGCTGTAGGAAAGAGGAAGAGCCTTGCTACGTGGCATGTGGTGATTTTTAAGGTGTGGATACTCCCACCACAATTGATTCCAAACTCCCATGGGTTTCACAATAGCTCACAATACAAGGCCTGCATATTTAACACTCAGCTCAGGACAGTTGGTGCCGCTGGCTGCAGAACTCGGCTGGCCTCTGTGCACTGGTGTCTGTGGTTGAGGACACTTCCCCGGGATGTAAATGTAAACAGGGGGCTCCTGAAAGCTGCTAGTAGAATTTCTAGCCCAGCAGACAGGGGGCAGAGCCTCAGAGGCAGCAATCTCTGCCCCTTCTCCTTCAGATCCCACCGAGAACAGCATTCCAGGCTGTTTCTCACCCTCACTTCTTTGATCTTTATCATCATCATCATCATCATCATCATCATTATTAATTTATCTTTATTGTTGAAAGTATTACAGGTGTCCCCTTTTCCCCCCATTGACCCCTGCTAGACTGCACCTGGCCCCCCAACCCCACCCCACCCCAGGCCTTTACCACATTAGTGTCTGTGGCCATGGGTTATGCATTTATGCATATAAATTCTTCGGTTAATCTCTTCCCACCCACCCTCACCTTCCCTCTGGGGTTGGACAGAGACATAGAAGCATGGCACTTCGGTTCGTCAGGTCTTTTCGGGGAGGGAACTATGGTTAGTCAGGACAACACACACACAGTCCAGCCCGCCTCTCCCTCACCACACGCAACTGCCTCCCAGCCTGCCCCCACCCCCCCCGGGGCACACACCTCCGTGATGGGGTTAGACGCCAGCACCTTGTCCTCCACGTGGGCGTTACTGTTCGACTTGCTGACCGTGGCAAAGTACCTCATGGCATAGCGAGCAGACACCGTCTTCCCAGCACCCGACTCCCCGCTCACAATTATTGACTGATTTTTATTGTTTCTAAAGCAAACAAATGAAAGGATTTTAACATGTTCATTCCTTCTTATTAAAAAAGCAATATCTACTCACTAAGAACAATGCAGACCAGCTGGAAGGGACACTGTTTCATCACTCCAGAGCAGCGCTTTTCAGCCCCGTGCTGGCGGCAGGCACCATGGTTTTCCCACAAGGATTTGTGAAACATGCACTACCTGACGATTCAGTCAGGGGCACGGACCTCTTCTCCCTTAGGTCGTCAAATAAGAAAATGACAACAGCCAACACAACAATGCTGTCCAGTGTGAATGAATCAAAATCCTACCTACGTTCTTGTCAGATCAGCAAGATTAAATTTTTTTTGGTGTGCCTCAGAATTTTAGTAATTAGTTGATGTGCTGTGAGATGAAACAGGTTGAAAATCGCTGCTCTAAAGTACCTGTTTCCAGCATTCGAGAATTTCCTCCCGCTTTTTCTTCCTATGGGACCACGCTGAAGACACAATTTTGTGTCCTATGTCTCCTGTGTTGAGGGCCCCCAAGACCAATCCCAGTTCAGTGGTCCACTAGGAGGACCCACAGGACTCAGCATGTAGTCGTAGGCCCGGCTAAGATCTATTGCACCAAAAGGATACAAAGTAACTCAGCAAAGGAAGAGACACATGGGCCATGACCAGAGGAAGCCAGGGGTCAACTTCCAGGAGTCCTCTCCCAGTGGAGTCCACAGGACACACTTGATTCTTCCCACAGTGCACTGTGACAACACGCGGAAATGCTGTCTACCCGGGAAGCGCATCAGACCCAGTGCCCAGAGTTCCTATTGGGGCTGGTCACACGGGCATCCCCTAACGCAGTGGTTCTCAACCTTCCTAATGCCGCGACCCTTTAATACAGTTCCTCATGTTGTGGTGACCCCCAACCATAAAGTTATTTTCGTTGCTACTTCATAACTGTAATTTTGCTACTTTATGAATCGTAATGTAAATATCTGATATGCAGGATGTATTTCCATTGTTACAAATTGAACATAATTAAAGCATAGTGATTAATCACAAAAACAATATGTAATTATATATGTGTTTTCCGATGGTCTTAGGCGACCCCTGTGAAAGGGTTGTTCGATCCCCAAAGGGGTCGCGACCCACAGGTTGAGAACCACCGCCCTAACGGATACCAACATTCGAGGTGCCCAGAGGAAAGCAGATGTTCAGCATGAGCCACAGAAGTAAGCGTCAGTACAGCGAGCCGCTCTCATCAACGAGGAAATGGGGAGAACCTTCCTGAAGTCCAAGTCCCCAGGGGCCAGCCATGGGCCATCTTCGCCAACAGGCCTCTAATGAGAGCAGTCTCGAGCCTATGTCAACTCCTTTCTGCATATCCCCACTTAAATATGAAGCATTTTAAAGACATTATTTGGAGAGCCGTTATTCAAAATATGCTTGGGAACATATTTAGGTGCTCTGCAAGCCAAAATGCTCTGCTGCATAACTCAGAGAGCTTAAAAAATGCATTGAACTTTTCATGTCATGAGATTATGGTGGTAGAACTTTATTATAATGCCATTTTATGTATCCAGCATGACTTGTGTGTCAGGGGCTCTGTGAATACTTTACAGGGATTCTCATTCAAGCCTCACAAAAATCCTATGCCGCTTATACCCATTTTACAGATAAGTAAAACAGTGACTCAGAGAGAGTAAGAGACTTGACCCAGGGCACAGAGCACACAGCCTCCCTTGTGAATGCTTTGAGAGGACGAGGGAGGGAGGGAGGGAGGGAGGGAGAGAGAGAGAGAGAGAGAGAGAGAGAGAGAGAGATCCTGGTTCAAAGGAGGAAGCTAAGACTCTGAGGTGGGTGACACCCCCAGTGTCCCCTTGGCCGGCAGGGTACGATGGGGCTGGGGTTATTAATGCCGGGCTCTCCCGATCCCAGTCTAGCCTCAGCAAGTCCCACAGGAGCCTGTCTTATGTTTGTTCTGCAACTACAGTTAGACAGACAGACCTGTAGAAACCTGGCTTTTCAAGCTTGAAGCTGGCTCAGCCCTGCAGCTCCAAGCAGCACATACTCTGGTGTCCAGGATCAGCCCTGGCCCTTTGGGCCCTGAGCCAGGGACACTAATCAAGGGGATGTCCTGGACCTGCAGGGAGCCAGGGAAAATCCCAGAATGCACTGTGACAACACAGGTGTGTTAGGGTTGGGAGAAAATGTGCTGTGGCAGAAACCAAGGTATTTGGTTATTAACTGGCAATTCTCTACTCAACATTCATTTTCCCTTTTCTTCCCCGGGACTATGCCCCAATTTTTAGTGGGCACAGTGCTGCCCATATGAAAAACTACATATCCCAGGCTCCTTTGTGGCTAGGCATGGCCAAGTGGGTGGGTCCTGGTCAATGAGCTGTGATCAGAAGTGCTCTGCGGGATTTCTGGAAAGTCTCCTGCACCCGGAGGGGCACAACCTTCCCTGGCACTCTGTCACCCAGCATGTGCAGGAAATGACTAAGTATCAGCTTGGATCCAGCCGGTGTTGCTCAGTGGTTGAGCATCAACCCATGAACCAAGAGGTCACCGGTGTGATTCCTGGTCAGCGTACATGCCCGGGTTGCAGGCTCAATCCCCAGAGGCAGCTGATCGATGTTTCTCATCAATGTTTCTACCTCTCTATCCCTCTCCCTCACTCTCTCTCTCTCTCTCTGAAATCAACAAAAACAGTTTTTTATTTTAAAAGTATCAGCTTGGCCCCGATGACAAGTGCCACCCCAGGGGTGGGGAGCTGCAAGGTACCAGGTCCCTGGTGATTGGCAGAGGTTCTGTGTTAGCCCTGCCTGCCCAGGAGAGAACCACATGCGTCTACCTTGTCTAAGCCGCCATTATCTTTTCCTGATGACAAGCAGTGGAGCTTAGAATGGGTGCATCCAGCTCACAGGTGAGGACCCTGGCGCTGAGGGGGACCAGGCCCTGGGCCCAAAGTTACATGGTAAATAATGAGCAGGACCAGGTCCCTCACTTCAGGTTTTCATCTGTGAAATGAGGGCGACGATGGTAGCTCAGCTGACTTCACTGGAGTGTTGGGAGACGCAAAGATTACTGTGAAAGTTGTTTTGCAAATGTGAAAGGATCTACAAAGATACGGTGGTGTTTTATTCTTCATACATTACAGATGAGGACATTGAAGCCAAAAGAGCCTGGTTATGGGAAAAAGAAATTACATATGGAGTAAAAATATCTGAGTGCCAATCCCAGCCTCGTACGTGCGGTGGCTCTGGATTCTGTTTCCTGCCCAGGCATCTCCATCACGGCCACCCTGAGGGTGCAAGGATGATGTACAGGAATGTGTGTGTGCTCATGGTTCACAGGAGGCTTTTATTTTATTTATTTAAAAAAATTTTTTTAAATGTATTTTATTGACCTCCCACAGAAAAGAAGGGAGAGGGAATAGAGAGTTAGAAACATCGATGAGAGAGAAACATCGATCAGCTGCCTCCTGCACACCCCCCACTGGGGCCGTGCCTGCAACCAAGGCACATGCCCTCGACCGGAATCGAACCCAGGACCCCCCAGTCCACAGGCCGACGCTCTATCCACCGAGCCAAACCGGTCAGGGCCACAGGAGGCTTTTAATAAATGTTTGCCAGCAAAGCAAGAACTCCACAAGGCCATACAAAAACAAGTGGCAAAAATTAGGATAAAACCCAAATCTACACTGGAACCTGTGTTCATCTACCAATGGGCTCTGCTGCCCTGGGTGGGTCAGAAAGCTTCAACATCTCACAGCGGAGAATACGTCAGTATTCCTCCAACCCAACACACTGCAAGAGAGGCACCTGCTAGTCCCGTGTTTGTAGGAACAACTTTTGATCACCCAGAAGGAACAAAACCCAGGAAACTCGGTTTAAACACGTCAGGTACACGCTGAGAGTCATTTGCTTCTTGGTACACGTAGTCTGCTCCACCAGTGCCCCTCCGGTCTGATGGTCACATCCAATGAGACCAAGCCTGATGTCTCCCTCCCCAGCAAGGACCCAGCAAATGCAGGAGCATTAGGAGAGCCAGAGCAAGCCCGCCCCGCAGGAGGCTACCTGGCCATCTGCTTGTACGCCTCTTCTGCCACCGCAAATATGTGCGGGTCCATGTCGCCCATGTTCTGCCCGCTGTAGGCATGGATGATGGCATCTCCGTAGATGGGCAACTGCTTGTAAGGATTCATGGCCACCAAAATGATTCCTGAGAAGAGACGTTAGACACAGTGATGGGGTTCTTACTGTCACCCCAGCTCTCCCACTTACAAAACCTTCTGTGTGACTCTGGGCAGGTCACTCAGCGCTCTGAATCAGTTCCCTGCCGATGCCACCCCCAGTCTGGGCTACTCTAAGGGGGACCGATGAGGTGACAGATGAGACTGTCCTAACACTGAGAGGCTTTGGCAATTCCCAATGGAAATATGATGATTACGTCATTGCCCCAAATAAGTAATAAATTTATCACCTCCATTGGGAAACTCCAACACAAGCTTCATCCACATATATTTTTCTTGGTAGTCCAACCTTAGCTCTTGTTGAAAATTCTCCCCGCCCAGACACTTCTTTTTATAACAGACTCCCTAAGATCAAATGCCTGTGCCGTTGAGGTGGAAATGTGGGCACAGGTTTAGGTGTCACTACGCATTTTGACAGACGTCAGCAATTCTAATATAAACATACTATGACATGTGTCATCAGGATGCTCTGGGCAGCACGCACTGTGTCCGCGCCAGTCCCGCTCCCGGGAACCCTCTCCTTACCGCTGTAGGTGTAAATGAGTTTGGATTCCGCAAAGCGGATCCTGAGGTTGTGGAGCACCGCGGGCTCGTGGAGGTAGCTGAGGGCCGTGAGGTCATTCTCACCCACGAGGATGTCAGGGTTCCGGAGCGGAGGCAGAGACTCCGGATCAACGGAATAATCCAGCTCCTGTGCACGAAGATACACTTAAAGCTCTGGAAGTGAAAGATGTTGGGTGTTTCTGCTGGACCACCGTCTCTGTCCTCCCTCCCTCCCTTCAGAGTGACCCCCGACACTCTGAAACCAAGCTTATGTAGAGCAACGAGAAACTTATCTTCATGGCTGGTTTCTAAAAAGTGGGAGCCAGGGGGCTGGGTCTTGGCTGTGTGTCCTAGGACAAGTCATCCACCTTCTCTGGGCCTCTCTTCTCTCATCTGTGAAAAGACTGGCTGCACCAGGTCAGGTCCCTCACCCCCAGTCCTACCACAGGCGCCCTACTCGTATGTGGTTTAGGTAATGGGTGCCATGGAAGTTTTGATCTGAAAACAGAATCCTGCTGCTAAAAATGACATGGTCACCTAAGGTCCCTTGCAGCACTAAGGCTGCCGAATCTCTGTTGGAAGTTGACACGCTTCGTGATGAGAAGTGTCTGAAGGGGTCCATGCAGGTGGTGGTCTCTCTGAGCGAGGCTACCAGTGTTCCCGAGGGCTCCCAGCTCCGCCTGCAGGGCTGCCTGTGTTTACCAACCTCAGCCCTGGGCTGGGGAACCCCAGGCTGGCCTCTCCTCTGCCCATTTCACCTCGTGTTCCGGAGGCAGCTGCCTGAGCAGAGTGAAGGCCCGGTTAGCCTGCCTGGCGGTGTCCACACCTCAGATGACTGTGCCTTCCAGATGTCAGAGCACCAAGGGACTGATGGCTACCTGCTCTAACTTCCTTCACTTGCAGTCCACAGCTTGGGGAAGCGACTGAACTAGGGCACCCAGCGAGCTTGTTTCCCTTCCGCCTTCCCAGGCTGCCTTCCTTTCGATACCTGGTCCTGGACCAGCTCAAGGTGAGCCAGCTGCCCCTTAGCAAGTGCCCACTGTGTCAGCACTCAGCACTGGTTATTTCATTTAATCCTCAAAACTGCCTTCCCAGGAGGGCATGACTATCCTGATCAACGGTGAAGGAGACAGGCTCAGAGAGGTTCAGCCCTTGTCCCAGGTCACACATGATATGGGTCTGGCTGACCCTGAAGCCTGCATCAGGATGGCCCCCATCCACACCGACAGGGGTGTGGTTTGTTGGTTGCTCGCTCTGTTCTGCATAAGGAGCGCAGCTCTGGAAAACAATGGGACGTGAGTCCTCAATGCAGCTGCCTGCTCCATGGTCAATGTCATTATGTTTGCAGAACATTCATCTACACACTTTGAGAATAAAAGAAAAATGCTGCTCATATATAATTTTTACATTCCCTGAGTTTTCTGTTTTAAATTAACAGCCTCCTTTTCCAGTTCAGCCAGTGTGGTGTGTGTGTGTGTGTGTGTGTGTGTGTGTGTGTGTGTGTAAGAAACGGAGGGAGAGAGGGAAAGACAAACAGAAGGGAGAGCCTGGGGGAGAAAACGTAAAGAACATCAGATTGGCAGTCGGGGCAGAATTGCCATTCTCCTACACAAAGCAGGCTCTGTCCTTCATGGTACAGACAGAGTCAAGTTACAGAGCAGCCTGGCAGCCTCCATCTCACCTGCCTCTCCCTCCTCCTCCGGGCAGCTGGCTCAGGGCCAGGAATGTCGCCACCTGAGGCCCTGCTGATATTACTAAGGCAGCGAGCCACCGCTGCAGCTGCTGTCTGAGATTGTTCTCCCAGAGCCATCTGATCCCTAATTAGAAGCTTGGCTGTGCACAGGAGGTTTTCCACAAATGCTGCGAGGAGTTTCGGATGGGAAGGGAGAGGCTAATGGAGGCACAGCATCCTCTCACTGCGTGTCTCTTGCATCTGCACACGCACACCTGGGTCATCTCATTTGATCTGCAGCAACCTCCCTGTGCTGTGGTGCCGTTATTAACCCATTCCACATATGAAGCAATCACAGGGCTCCCGGTCACAGACTAGCGAGTAGCTGTGGCAGGATTTGAATCCAGATATTGATTCTAGAGGATGTGCTCTTCACATCTATGTTCACCTTCCTTCAGTATCTCAGGAAATGATGCCCAAATCCAGGATACTCTGATTGGAAATAGTGTGTCCTGCCTCTATAGAGGCCATTTGCATGCTTTGGAAATTCCAGCATTTAAATATTCAGATGACCTTCCCCAGACCAACTCTGGCATCCAGATGGGTCAGGAATCCTCTGTCCAGCTCTGTATCCTCATACTTGATTCTAAAAAGGTAAAGCCACCTTAGCTATGGATCCAGCGGGATGTCATTAGCACTGGGGAGGAATAGGACGCCTCACGATGGGTAATTAAAGCAAAGGCAAATGTGCGGAAGCTGGTCATCAAAAGGCATGCCCAGCCTCCGAGAGGACGTTCTCACCAACATGCTCCTCCACAGGCCCTGCCCAGCCCCGTCTCTCCCTCGCCACACCAACTCGGACAGAGGCCCTCAGGATGTCACACAAAGCTGGACATTCCTGTCCACCCGTCCCACCTCCCATCATTTTCCTAACTGCCCCATCATGCTCCCTTGTGGAGGTCCCAATTCTTCATGTTTTTATCCACCTGCAGCCGGACTCACTCTCCCTCTGCTCTCCTCTCACACCTCCCACTCCCGTCTTATTTTCTATCTCCCCACTGTTTCTCTTCCTCTTCCCATCACCCGAGGATATTTTTCCATTGATTTTTAGAGAGTGGAAGGGAGGGGGAGAGACACACAGAGAGAAACATTGATGTGAGAGAGACACATCGATTGGTTGCCTCCTGCACTTGCCCTGACCAGGGCCGGGTATCAAGTCTGCTACCGAGGTACATGACCTTGACAGAAATTGAACCTGGGACCCTTTAGTCCATGGGCCGATGCTCTATCCACTAAGCCAAATAGCTAGGGCTGTCTTCCCATCTTGATGTTGTTTTCTGCCAGTTATGCCTCGGGCTCAAACTACTTCCCTCCAAGGTTCTTGTCTTTGCCCAGTCTCTGAGCTAAGACCTAGGAAACCAAAATGGCTAATCGTTTTTCAGCCTTTTCCGAACAGTGTGGACTCCCTGGAAATGCAGCACAGGGCACAGGCCTGTCTGCCACACCTCGGTGCTGTCTACCCATCTTGGTGCCCTGCCTGCCCCACCTCAGTGCGAAAGAGGCCCAGCTGAGGCAGGGCACTTTTGGCTTTCAGTTGGGCAGCCTGGGGTGGGGGTAGGGAGGTGGGGAGAAAAGGGGGAGTGGTACACATGAGTGCATCCACAGCACCAGCTGGCCATTTTGGGTGCCCCCTCATGGGCCCTCCCCTGGCTGCTCCCACAGGGACCATATGCCCCCCACCCCCCACCCCCCCACATACCCCAGTTATCCCTTCATACGTTACGGCAGCCACAGCCAGCGAGGACCTACCGTTCCATCCTCCAGCAGGAGTCGCAGGACTTTGTCATCAACTCTGTAGTCCTTTGCTATTTCAGCAGATTTCCAAACATCGTCAGGATCCGGAATCCAAACCCTGTTGTACTGACCAACACAATGAGACAGGCTTAATTCCAGCACTTCGACAATAAGACACAGATCACCTGGTGATCAGACTCGAAGGTTTGCTTCTGTTCCTTCATTAGGAACACTTTTACCTAATTTTTGCTCAGGAGGTAAGCTTTAGTGTATCTGCCATGCATCAGGCCTGGCTGCTTCATTTTCTAGACAACGGGATTCCCAAAGCCTCCTATATCCACCTGGAAAGCTGAACCCCTGGGAGTGACAAGAAGTCCCTGAGCGCCCCTAAAGGGAAGACCTGAGCGCTGCCTGCAAGCGTTGGAGCAGAGATTGGGTTCCCTGCTGATGAACCATGGGGCTCTGGGCCAGACACTTAACTTCTTGTGCCTCATTTTTCTCATCCATAAAATGGGTACAACAAGGCCTACCTCACAGATTTGCTGGGAGGTTAAATTAGACACTGTACTTGAAAGCACTCTGCAAAGTGCTGTAGAGGTCATGTCACAGCAGCATTATCCTCGTCTTACCACCCAGGCCAGCAGCCCAGGGTTCCCACTGTGGGAAATGCAAGTCCAGATGGAGCTGCCGAGCTCAGTTCCCAACAAGCCATCAGTACACCCAGTGCTGACGTGCAAGGCTTCAGGCAGAACCACACCGCTGTGTACTGAACTGTGTCCCTCCAAAATTCATATGTTAAAGGCCTAATTTCCAATGTGACTGGAGATAGGGTCTGTAAGAGGTAGTTAAGGTTAAACGAAGTCATAAGGCCCTGATCTTTAGGATTAGTGTCCATATAAGAAGAGACCCCAGAGAGCTCGCACACGTACAATCTCTCTTCACCTGATGTGCTGCCGAAAGGCCATGTGAGGAAACAGTGAGAAGGCAGCTGTCTCCACCCAGGGGGAGAAGTTCCCGCCAGACACCAACCCTGCCAACACCCTGATCTAGGACTTCCCAGCTTCCAGAGCTGTGAGAAATAGGGGTCTGTTGTTTAGCACCCAGGCTGTGGTATAGTCTTATGTCAACCCAAGCCGATGAACACACATGCCTAATAATTCACATATTAGGAAATTCACAGAATTTACCAGTCATACCTGAATGCTATTCAAGATAAAGACAAGGTGCCCGGTCTGTGTAGCTTAGTGTCGACCCAAGAACCAGCAGGTCATGGTTCATTTCCTGGTCAGGTCATGTGACTGGGTTGCAGGCTCAATCCCCAGTAGGGGGCATGCAGGAGGCAGCCAATCAATGGTTCTCTCTCATCATTGATGTTTCTCTTTCTCCCTCTCCCTTCCTGTCTCTGAAATTAATAACAATATATATATTTTTTCAAAAACCCTTTATTGTTGAAAGTATTACATATGTCCCCCTTGCTCCCCCATTGACCCCTTCTAGCCTGCCTCCGCCCCCCTCCCCAGGCCTTCACCACCCTATTGTCTGTGTCCATGTGTCATGCGTATATGCACACAAGTTCTTTGGTTGATCACTTCCCACCTACCCACCCTCCCCCGCCTTCCTTCCGCATTCTGTTCTTTGTTTCTATGTCTCTGGATCTATTTTGCTTATCAGTATATTTTGTTCATTAGATTCCACATATGAGTGAGAGCATGTGATACTTGTCTTTCTCTGACTGGCTTATTTTGCTTAGCATAATACTCTCCACGTTCCTCCATGCTGTCTCAAAAGGATGATTCGCTCCTCTCTCTCCTCCAGGCATGCTGTCTGCATCATACCCTTCCACCCAGACCCCGCATCTAAGTCTCCTGTAGCAGTCTGTAAATTCATTCCTCTGCCCATTCATTCATCCATTCAATAAACACTTGCTAAACATCCATGATGCCTATGTCTGGCACAGTGCTGGGTTACCAAAAAGGAAAGGCATCTTCTCATAGTCACCATGGTCTTCCTACTAACCAGCCAATCACTGGCCTGTGCATATGTGCATATTTGCATCTCTCGGCTCAAGTACCAGCAGTGTCTATCAGTAGGGCGCCCCTCCAGGATACCCTAACGTCTTGGGACAGAAGCAGGCCAACAGGGACAGGAACTGAAAAGCACCCCCATGAAGACATTAAGCAGCACCTAGGAAAGAAAGCTCTTGAATCTAAAGGCTCGGTAGCCCAGGATGCCAGATCTGGATGAAGCGCGAGAGGCCGGCAGTGTCTGACCCTCACTGCCCACAGAACACTGGCCGCCAAGTTCCCCAGGAGCAGAGCTAAGATGAGCTCCACAGTTTTCATAACAGCCCCAAACTGGAAACGGGCTAAATGTCCATTGATGTGAGAATACATTTTAGAAAGAGTAGACATACAACTGTGGCATACGCACACAATGGAATCCTACTAACCAACACAAAGTCAACTACCGATACAACCAAGAACTTGAATGAATCTTTGAAGCGCTAGCTTTGCACAAATGAGTACATTCTGTATAGGTATCTTTACATGAAGTGCAGAACAGGTAAAACTAACATACAGTGGGGAAAATCCAAGCAGTATTGCCTCTGGGGGTAGCTAGGGCCTGGGAGTGACTGGGAAGGTGCCTGAAGGAATGTTCTGGGGTGATGGCTACATTCTATGTCTTGATGGGGTTTGGGTTACACAGGCGCTAAGCACTTTCAAACTTCAGAGAACATAGACTTAAGATTTGTGCATTTTGTTGTCTGGAAATTTTACACACAGAACAAAAAGGAACTCTTAACAATATGCATACTGAAGTATTTAGGAGGATGGGTATTGACATATACAATTTACTCTAAAATGCTTCCAAATATAAGATGGGTTGAGGGCTGCATAGAAGGATAGAAATGTGGGGAGCCGGCACGGCCATGGCATACTCAGCCCCAGGGCGCCTTATGTGCCATGCCAGCTCAGCCTGGTTCAGTGACCCTGAGTTGGGGGGTGAAAGGATTGAGAAAAGACAGACAAGAGAATGAAAGCTGGGTCTCGGTGGGACGCTGCTCCCTGATGAGGAGACAGCGCCAGCGCCCACAAGCCGTGTCTTTATTTTATAGCAGATGCCACGAGGCAAAGTAAGGGCATGATCACATTGTTTACAGCATTCTCGTGAGTTTCAACCTCACTTAACTACATGCACCCGAACTCTATCACAAGGCACGTGGGGTTACGTGTTCGGACCATAGGTTCAAGCTTACAACCACAGCCATTGGCTATAATTGTGCTGGGAGGGCCCTGCCCTCCAGCTGGGACTTGCATGTGGCAATGAGAGGACCCTGTCCTTTCATTAGTCCGAGGCTTGAACCTGGCCAAAACACCATAACCGCGCCCCACATAGAAAGATGGATAGATATGTGATACAACAAATACGGTGAAATGTTCATGCTCGAATCTAGGTGGTGGGACAGATGCTTACTATAGAGTTCATTCAACTTTATGCTTAAAATTTTCATAACAAGATGTTGGAGGAAATAAAAAATAAGTATAAAACATAATTCAGGGTTTCAGTACTAGACTTGGGCAAAGTTGGCTGAGGAGCATAGCTATTAATCTCCTAGTTAATATAAACCACTTCACTTAATAATATATCTATCTATTTAAAATTGGTTGGATATCAATCATGACTCCCTAAGTTATTTGGGTTGCTTTAATTACTGACAGCTACTTAAGAGCAGAAGCTTGCTGAAATGTAGCATGGGAGGGTAAGACTTGAGAGAGGGGGAGGGAGAGAGGAAGCATGACTTGGCAGGCAATGACACATACTCACATACACCCCGCCCCCTGCAGAGAGGTGGACAGAAGCCCAATAAACACACACAGACACACCTCTCAGACAGACGCCCACACTCTATGCATCCTTGTTGCCATGGGCTACCATTTTCTACCTCAGGTCTGCTACTGAAAATATTTCTTACTAACCTCATAAAGCTGAATTCATTAACAGAATATCCCAATTTATCACGAATTGGCCACGGTAGGATTTTAGAGCTGAAAGGGCCCATGAAGGCTGTCTACTCCAGGTGTTCTTCACACACAGCTGCAGAAAGCTGACTCCCGTGAAACTGGGGAAAGAGGTGAAAATGGAGGTGTCCAGGCGGGAGCGCAGAGGGTGCTGCGGCTGACGTCTGTCAAATCCTCCAAGGAATCCTGGGGTCTGAGAAGTAATGTTCAAATCCCTCAGCCAATCTAAGCCTTTTGTTTTCCTGATCCCTAAACTGGAGGCCAGAGAGGTCAGTAACCCACCAGATACCACACAGAGAGTCTCAAAGGTGCGGACTCCAGGGGAGCCAGGGCCAGGACTCCTACTTGAACTACTTGTTAACTACACGAGTCTGGCCCTGAAAATAATTCTGATCACTCCTGAGCATGTGGGGGTCTGCAGTGCGGACACATTCTTGGGACTGTGTGCAACCACCTGTTGAGGGCGCACAGATTCTCCCAGCACTCGGGTTACATTTGTTTCATTGGTTTATTTCCGCTCAAAGCAGTGTTACATGGTAGGCACTATTAGGACGTATGGAACCAAGCGTCTGCTTCTCTTCTGGTGTGAACACAGTGGCCTCCTTGGCCCCCCTGAGTTCCCAGGCCCTCCATCCCCCACTGGGCCCAGTGCCTCTACCGACAACGCTGCCAGTCATTTAGGCTGAAACCCAGCCTGGTAAGTAAACACACCAAAGTTTACCCAGTTCCACAGAAGTTACACCCATTCGGTCCCTCCCTTCTTCCTCTCATTCCTTTACCCACAAGGCAACACTTCAAACCGGAGGGAGAGCTAACTTTACAGCATTTAGACAAACAAACGCAGTCCCTGCAAACAATGTGACTAGCTCTCATGTGATCTCCCCAGTGTGGTTCCTTTTCCTGAAGCAGGAGCCACTGGACTCAGGCCACCCTCTGGGGCAGGCCCATCTCCCACACCTTCTCTGGGAATCCTCCCCCAGGCCGGGCGATCATGGTGTCCCTAAGCCATGGGAGGCTCGGGAATGAGGCAAAGGAACTGACCCTTAGGAAGTGATATGTTCCCAGGAACATGTCCGATCCGCATACCCTACATGCTCACGTGAGAGAGAGCAGCATCTTCTCAGGTTGCCCGCCCATTTGAGGGGTTCCACTGGCATATGCGGACCTCACATGGATCATGGAATATCACCGGTTTCCACCCCAGCCACCTTCTGGCCTGAAAGGGACTCTACTAGTACATGTTCTGGGTCAGCCAGGCCAGAGTGGTGACACAGTGCTCCCTCTCTCCCTCCTCCTCTTCCCTCGTTCCCCAGGGCCCTTCTTAGGCCTCCTCTAGTGTCTCCCAAAGTCCTTCCTGGTCTCTTCTCACAACATGGTTTCCAAGACTGTGTACCACTGAGTCCTCCAGCCTAGCTCTCCCCATAGAAGATCACACTTCTAGATCACAATTCCAATTCCCTTCTAGACATCAACCCCAAATGTGCTCAGACACAAATCCCAAGCTCAAGTGATCATTATGCCCATCTTATCCAACTTCCCTCCTTGGGTCACCCCCTTGTGAATCTGCCCTCTGTCTGCTTCCCACCCAAACCACCAGCAGTTTATAGAGCACCCTGAACACTTCAAGTCCTTCCAGCCCCGAGCCACCCTCCTCCCCCATCACTGAGCAACTGCTTTGAGCAGTCGAGTCAGCTCAAAATCCCCGTCTCTGTGGCACTTTCCCTGGCACCCTCACCCCAGGCAGAGTTGAATGCTTCCTCTTTAGAGCTCTCTCTACCCTTCCGAGGTTTCTGGGTCACTTCCATCTCCCCCACTGACATTTGAACTTAAAGAACGTTGTCTTTTTGCCCTGGAACCCAATACAATGATTTCCCCCTAGCTAGCACTAGATGTTCAATGAACATCTTTGAACAAAAATTTGAATTTGCAGTAGTCCAGTTGCATCAATGAAAGACTAGGTGGTAGTTTAGTCTTTATGTCCTCCCCTTTTTTTACTCTTTTGAACTACCCATATATAATACAACAGATAAATATAATTAATAATATAATATAATATAAATTATATTATTAAATATAATTTTTCAGAGTTGGTGATGATATATAGAAATCTAAAGCTGCTTAGAAGAGCCAAAAGGAAAGTCATTAAACTGAATTTTGACCTTAGTTTAGCTACGGACCCCAGACTGCTAGTCAAGACACTTCAAAATAAGTGCTGCAGGGGGGAAAAAAGATACTTCACATCTGAATTTAAGCAAAACTTCAATGAAGATGTCTGTGAGTTCTTCATGCACAAGTGAAAGAAACAAACAGTTGAAGGATAATAGAATTTGTGAATCTGTGGCTAAAACCAGTCATAACCTGAGTTCTGATGAATGAGTGAGAATACTTTAAGGAAGGTCTTCAGAGGCGCCATAGAGCTCTGGTGCCTCATCTCCATTCATCACTTTCACCAACATCTCAGATGAAAAACACAACACCTGTGCATCAAATATCAGATGAAATATTATTAGCCAAGGATGGTCAGGACTGCTAAAGGTTTTGACAATCTGCAGAACACTAAACAACAAGTTGGAAAATTTAATAGGGATAAATGTAAAATCCAGTATACAGGGACCCAAAATCAACATTATAATAACATCAATATTAAAAAACTTTTATTAAGCATTGTGTGTCAGGTATTTTGCTAAGGATTTTACACAGATGATTTAATCCTTACAACGACTGGTAAAACCTAAGTCCATTTTATGAATGTGGAAAACCCA